TGAAATCGGGACTAATAGAAGAAAGTAATGCAGAAATAGCTCATCCAGTAGTTTGTGTAAGCAAAAAAAATGGAGATATCAGATTGTGCTTAGATTATCGAGCTTTGAATGCAGTGACGAAGCCAGATGACTTTCCTATGCAAAATGCCATTGATTTAATGTACAGTATAGGAAGAGCCAACGTCATAACAACTTTAGATTTGCTGAAAGGATATTGGGCAATTCCCATGGAGGAACAAAGTAAAGAGTACACATCGTTCAAAACTCATCGAGGTCAATATCAGTTTAAAGTGCTACCCTTTGGATTAAGGAACGCAGCAGCAGCAACTTTTCAGAGAGTAATGAATAACGCGCTGAAAGAATTTCAACAATTTTCAAGAGCCTATATTGATGACATAGCTATATTTTCCACGGATTTCGACACTCATCTCCAACATCTGGATAAAGTTTTTACCAAATTAGAGTCACTTGGATTTACTATCAATTCGAAGAAATGTTCGTTTGCAAAACCTCAAATTAAATATTTAGGACACATTATTGGATCAGGAAAACATCAACCAGATCCCGAGAAAATAGAGGCAATCAAGAAGCTGGAAACGCCGAAAACGAAAAGAGATCTTAAAAGTCTGTTAGGACTTATGTAATTATTATCGCGATTATATCCCAGGGTATGCAGAGATCGCCTACCCACTCACAGAACTCACGAAAAATAAACAACCGGAAATACTCGAATGGAAAGAAATTCATGAGTCAACATTTCAACAACTGAAGGAACGATTAGCGATGTCAACGGAGCTGATCACCCCAACACTGCAGGATCCGTTTGTCATTCATTCTGATGCATCCCAAATCGGAATAGGTGCATGTTTATCACAGCAAAGGGGAGAGAAGAGAAGCAATTTCCCATCTGCTACGCGAGCAAGAAATTATCGAAACCTCAACAGAGCTGGCCGACTATAGAGCGTGAAGCTTATGCTATAGTATGGGCATTGAAGAAGTTTGAACCTTGGATATTCGGTTCATCGGTGAAAATTGTGACTGATCATAATCCTCTAGCCTTTATAGTGAGAAATGCTCCGCAATCGTCCAAATTACAACGATGGGCCATAGCTTTGCAGAAATATAATCTCGAAATAGAACATTGCCCTGGAAAAAAACTGTCAAACGCGGATGCATTATCCAGACTTCCCACTTGTGAACTTTGAACATTAATTTACTGTTCATCTTCACGAACATTTTGTATAGTTAATAATTAGATAGTTTTTCTTTGCTTTTCATAATCATTTTACAATTTTGTGCAAATAAGATGTTTATGTAATTTGAAATAGATAGAGAAATTATTGGATAACAAATATTCGAGGTAAGTGGTAAATTTAGATATTTGTCTCCCAAGGATTTAAATCATGCTGCAGCATCATTAATTAAAAAGAATGTTAGGAATATAATTTTATATATATATATAAGAAACTTAATAATTTTACTGTCATCATTGGAATAATACTAAGGTTTATTTTAACATGTTTATAAAAGAAAATATCAACTCGGTTTCTTTGAATTAAGAATTGATAAATTGTTACAATAATAGTAAGGTTCGGAACAAGTGAAGTTAAAAATGAGTTATCTATGTTTATATACTAAAATGTGTTGGTTATATTTATTTATGTTTATGTAGTAAATTGAGGTGCAATTGTAGGTATTATATTGCAAATGTCTATAGTAATTGAGATTTGAAAATTAGGATAGAATGTATAAAAGTATAGTAGTTTTTTTTTCTTTCATAGGACGTAGTTGGTGCTTTTGGGGCGAAGGTCTACCTGGGCTTTGGTTAAGTGGCTACTAGTTCCATAGCATTATTTTGTGTGGGAAATAGAGATCTGGGATTGTCTGTGATATTCGGACGAATTACGTTCTTTATCGGAAAGGGGGAATCGGGAAAAAATCTGGAAATTTTGTATTTGGCTTTATTCTGTGTTGTGTGAAACAGTGTTCGTGAATTTTTGGATCCCATGGCCGTAACTAAAGTGAATTCGAAATGGGTATTTATGTATGTATTAATTTAATGTATGTGCTCATTTATATTTTAAGTAGTGTTTTTGAATTTAATTATATTTTAATTAAATGATAGTTATTTTGTGAATTTATGTTTGTAGGAATTTGGTATACGTTTTAGTTGAAGTAAACGTACATGGAAATAATTTAAATATCTGACACTAAGTATTTGTAATGGTTGCGGTATGATTCGTTGGTGACGTGTAATGTAATAGATGATTTAGAGGTAAACGTTTTTTGGATATTTTATTTATTTTATATGTGGAAATGTTCATATTTGGAAAGGGTAAATACTTTTTCGCGATCAGGTAATTTCATATATGTTTTTTTTTTACCGGGTTTAAAGATTGAGAAAATTGTCATGTATTTTCGTGGAAATTTTTCTAATTTATGAGAAAAAAGCAGTGTACATGGATATAGTGAAGAGTGTGCGCAATGCCATTTTTGTGCAATCTGGGATTTTTTTTTAAGTAAAAATAAGTCGACGTGTACATGGTTTAGTGATATTTTAATTAAATGATAGTTATTTTGTGAATTTTATGTTTGTAGGAATTTGGTACACACGTTTAAGTTGAAGTAACGTGCATGGAAATAATTTAAATATTTGATACTAAGTATTTGTAATGCTTGCGGTATGAATTCGTTGGTGACGTTTATAATGTAATAGATGATTTAGAGGTAAAAATTTTTGGATATTTTTTATTTTATATGTGGAAATGTTCATATTTGGAAAGGGTAAATACATTTTCGCGATCAGGTAATTTCATATATGTTCTTTTTACCGGGTTTAAAGATTGAGAAAATTGTCATGTATTTTCGTGAAATTTTTGTAATTTGAGAAAGAGAAACAAGCAGTGTACATGGATATAGTGAAAAGTGTGCGCGCAATGCCATTTTTGTGCAATTCTGGGATGTTTTTTTAAGTAAAATAAGTCGGCGTGTACATGGTTTATGTGTATGTGTTATTTTGAAAAACGCGTTAAGGAGTATGGTATTGTGCACTTTTTCCCAATTTTGCAGTGAAATATTTGTCATGATTAAGCAGTTTTGTTAGATAAATTTCTAGCATAAGTGTAATTCGGCTAGTAGATTGTTGGAAGAAGTGTTCAGTAGATAAAAAGAAAAGAAACATGTCTTTACTTCGTGAAGACAAAATGGCGGCGGGAAAAAAGAATAGAGGGTTGCTGTAGGAGAGTTGGTCACCAAATTTTCGCCAAAAAAACGCCAAGTTACCATAATGTAAAGATTAACCAGTTTTTTCTCTTTTTCAGGTTGATCGCAAACAGTTGCTAGATTTTAGTTTTCAGATTGCTGATTGATTTGTAAATAATATCGACAACAATCTTACGACGGGGGTGTGATATCTGGCGACTGTTTGGCGATCAACAGATCGTGCTTGGCGCAGGTAGCTCTTCTCCGAGAAGGGTTAATGTATTTATTAGGAGTTGCATGTTAGCCTCGGAAGAGGAAGGTAGTAGATTGTACGATGCGGTAGGAGCGACGTACTGCTCTGAGTAACTATTATATTATGCTTTGAATTATATATTTAATAAATGTTTGTTTCGTCTTGCTATATGTGCCTTATTAAACCACGAAGTCATCACAGCGAAAAATAAAATGTTTTATTTTAATGTTATTTTTTTAATATAATTTCAATATATTGCCATTATTTTAATAAAATTTATCAATGTTACGATGTTTAAAAAAAAATCGTCGAAAAATTCTCATATTTTTGGAATTAAAAAGTTTCTATAGAGACTAATCTTAAATAGGTTGAAAAGTCGCCAAATTTAGAACCGTTTAATAAAAGAATTCACATCCCCAAAAGCAAAAAGTTGTTCAAGAGCTCTTCTTAGAAAAAATGAATTCCGAAATGCTATGTTTCACTTCTTGCTTAGAAACTCCAGTACCCCCACCATTTATATTAGAAATAGGAACAAATTATAACCTATGAACCCATTCAAAAGATAACCATATATATCAGTGAATCGCCAAATATATTCCTCCAAAATGAAAATTCACACTCAAAATGACAGTCGTAAAAACAGACAGAAATTTCAGATGATTAAAATTAAGGATCTTCTCTTGATTTTGGCCAAAATTAAGGACTTTTAAGGACCAAAAATCAATTCCAAAAAATCTAAGGACTTTTAAGGACCGTACGAACCCTGTTTTAATTTGGCAGGCTTAGTATAGGAATAGGGATAGCCATAAGGTCATAGACTCACATCCTGTTAAAACTTTGCAAATTATCATTGAATGGATTGTTCTGCTGTAATTTCTTAATAAAAATTTTCAATATTCTGAATGCAGTCATTGCAAATTTTCCTGTTTAATTTTATAAAATGAAATTATCTTCAATTGAGTCACAATTGACTATAAACTGTTTTCATTATTAAATGTTTATTGAACCCAACTACTGAAACTACACTTGCATGTGCCTAATATTGACAGAACTCAAGTTTTTGTTTTCCTGCCAGCAAACAGAATTTGCCGTTTCAGTAGCAACTACTCAATAACACAAAGCTTAAGCAAGTAATGGATTATTTATTTAAGGCAAGCAAAGCACAAAAGGGCACAGTTTTGGTACTCTTAAGATGAAATCTGAGAGTTTCCTTGAGGTCACCCGCCATATGTTCCTTTCTGGAAATATATAGAGTACCTACTTCCTAATGAAAAATCTAACACCAATACAATAATAAGCCAATAGGAAAGATACTTATAATTCTGAAAAAGGTGGGGGGAATTGTCAGATATTCCTAATACTTATCATAAACACAAAGTTAGTCCATGAACTTCAGATTATCAATTACCTACAACTACCATTCCCTAACAGATAAAATTATATATATATTTACATATAAAATAAACAAATGCTAATGGAAAAGCTACAGCTATACAGCTTATTTGGAGAATGCTGCTAAAGTGAAATAAAGAATAACAAAACAAAATAAAAAAATTTGATTTTATTTATAATGCAAAACATACAATGTAATTACATTTAATATACTACCCATTAACTTATGAAATGTCTTATTATCGTGCAATAACCACTTTTTTACATCATTCACAATAAACAATGCATTTGGTTTAAAGGCATCAACATTTACCAACATAACTCATATATATAAAGAGAGTATCTTAAAACTTTATATTTAATCAAAAATAAAAAGATTCAGTGCAAAAGTTATTTTAATGTAAGGAGGAAAAGAAACTTTTCATGTTCAAATATACCAAAACATATAAAACAAAATATGACTTATAATTCAAAAGGACATACTCTTAATTAATATGTAACTGATTGAAGATACAAACATTTTTTTGCATTCAATTTTTGGCCGAAGCTGCATGAATTAATGTTTTCACAGAAAACAATTAGATGGTCTACAGAAAATAAAAATAATAAAAATTTCATTCACGTTTGCTGAAGTTAATTGAGGAAGACAGTTTATATAAATCATACACACGTGCACATAAAATATCATATGAGTTTTATGGTATAATATTTTACACTGTAAGTTATCACATCAGAAGCTCAGAAATTTTTTTATAGAATTCTTGCTAAACAGCAATGTAAGACTGACATTTAGCTATAAAATGTGAACAAAAAGTACTAAAAAATCTGTTTTTTAGAATATTGAAATGTTTATGAAGCAATTAAGGTATAAATGTGTATGTTTAAATCTTCCTAAAAATATAACTATGTCTTTAAATTCAACATACACTTATAAAATAGAAATTCAAAACCTTAAAAGTATAAATTATTTTTTAGTTTGTACAAAAAATGTATATTAAATTATTTGCATAAATGAAATTAACACATCATAAAATTTTTAAATTTCAAATTTATATTTACATATTTTATAAAATCAAAACAAGTGCTCGATTACCTTACATAAGTACATTCAAATAATAACTGTTAAAAACCACCTTGTTATTAACTATTTCCCCACTGAAAACAGTTTTCATTAGAATACGACACGGGAAATAACTCTAAAAAACCTTATCACAATTCAATTCTGACATTACAATGAAATTACATTACAGAATGACCACACAAATATTTTAAATCACTCATGCAGTCATTTACACAGCTGTATTTTAATAGCTGTGCAAATATTAATCATGTCTCTTCAGAATGTCATGAACAAACATGACTTCAACTGAATTTAACATTTATTTTGAATAATTTTTAAATGCAATTCCGATATGAAATTAATCTAAATAGGCGCACAGCATAAATATCCAGTATTTATGACTTTAAATGCTATCATTTGTATTTATAAAGCAAGTATTACAAATTAAATGGCAGACAAATTTACTCACAGGCCAAAGTTCTTTTTGAATGGAATTTCTCTAGTACTTGGTGACTGCAGTTCACTATCTTTATTCTTGTAAATATCTTTGGATTTAGAATTCTTTACTTTTTGTAATAAAAGAGCATACAAATTGCCTTATTTAACAACAATCTTCAAAGACATATTGGTGTATGCAAAAATATAAATTTTAAATGTGCCAATTCTGCAAGTTTCCCTAAACAAAATACTTAACAGCAGTATTTTCCACAATATGTGAAAACAATTTTGGCACTTGCAATTTTTGTTATATGCATACAGGGTGTGACACAAAAGGTACAATACATAAGTTCTGATGTATATAGCACAAACGCGCACTCGATAGATCAAGTGAAGGATGAGCAAAGTTACAACAGCTGAAGGTTTAAATCCTAACACTTCAGTCCAATACCACAATCTTGATGCAATCCTAGGCTATTACACCTTTAATAAACTAACAGGCATAGGAGGTGTAAAACTATAAATGCATAACAAATGGAAAGGTAGCATACATATGTACATTCTTGCATTGCACCCTGTACAAAGATATCAGTAAAGGTGTAATAAAAGATTTTGCTTCTCAGTTACTGTAAATAAGGAATCTTCAGCTCACAATCACAGAAGATGCAGCTGTAATTACATTATATCATTGTCTAAAAGTAAACACCACCAGAAATAACTGCTACCACAGTGCACAGCAGTTTTTGCAATTAACAATCCAAATGACCATTTAAATATACCCTTTATTTCATTCACTTGAAACAGTGACAATTTCCATAAAAATGGCAGGATGAAGTCAGGGTTTCAGTTAAATGTGAAGAGACCAGTCAATATTCTTATCTCAGACTCGAGAAAATACTAATGATCACGGCGAACTCTCTTCTTCTTTTTCTGATCTTTTGCCTCTGGATAGAGACCTAACAAAAAATTTCAGAAATAAAGGAAAATGAAGATGAGCAAGTGGTTCTGAATGGAAACTATAAAATGAAAAGTATTCACAAAAATGTAATTTCGGGAATAAAAATACTGCATAAAAAACCTTTTAACTAAAGTAATATTAAAAAATCTACATAATATAAGCAATTTCCAAAGCTTGAATAAAAATTCACCATAAAAAACATGTGGCATTAATAAACTAAATGCAGTTACTTATTAAACATGATGTACATTGTAAAAAAAATGAATTAAAATTTTCAACTTTGTATATATATATATATCCCATTCTTAGATAAAAGTATAAATTTTTGAAACACTTACAATTAATTTTTAAAAACTAGAAGCTTTACAAAAAGATAGAGGAAAACATCTCCCAAAATATATGTCTATGCAAAAGGAACTTATGTAAAATATAAAAAATCCAGCTTTCAAATAATTAATAGCCCTTTAAATCCAGTCTTCATTCTAAAAATAACAGAGCAATAAATTTTCTAAACGAAAGAGATCCGTCATTTAATCTGTATTGTGCACTAATTGACGAAGTCTGAACTCAACACTTCTACATTAAACTGCCATGTGGTCTGAAATGGAATTCGGTAGGTCATCCCTTCTGCTGCTTTCCACTAAGCCACTAGCTACACAAAGTTTCCTTTCCTAAATTTGTCCATTGTTTAAGATGTAAGCTGAACAAAATTATGGGGCGCATAGTGCACCCGCAGTGATAATGTACATTATCGAAAAAATTAAATTGTGTGGAATTTAGGCCATGTCTGCAAGATTTTGGTTTATGCTTCCATCATTCTAACTGTGCAACAAAGTCTTCAAGTTAAGATGAAGTCCTCTCCAACGCCAATCTGTTGCAACTCTTGTTAAGTCATCTTATTTCATCTAATAATGCTGTCTTATTTTACTAATAATACAGTTATCATATAATAGAACAGTTTTATCACAATAAAATGATGCAGCCTGCACTCAACCTTCTGCGGGATGATCCCTGCTTGACTCAGCATTGGTTATGGAATTAAACTATGCATTAGAAGTGCTCAGTTGTGTCATAATATCAAGAAAAAAAATATATTGTTTTCCTCCACGTTTCCAGTGCTTGGACTTGTAATCTACCTCTACTTTATAACTAGTGATCAAATGTTGGCAGTAAAAAGAAAATATCCATCTAAATATATTACCAAGTGTTTCAAGGTTTCTGTGTTGATGTTTGGTCTACATCCGTTTTGACTGCACAACATTGATCTTCATGCTAACGTTTATTCCCCAGCTCTTTTATCGGCTACATTAAATGATGTTCTTTTCAGCGGTTCAAATAATAAGAATTAGCTATGAATTATTTTAAAGTGATACATGCCTGAAATTATGTTGATTTACAAAAGAAAAAATATTGTTAAAAAATAACTCAATATTTCCAATACAATTTTTAATTTACAAATTTTGACAACTTATTTAATGTTATTTTGAAAATGATGCATCCTAAACGTTTTTCATTACCATCAGGTGAGGGATTTTTAATTAAGTACTGCTTTGAAATTTTGAGATACCAAAATTTAGTCTTTCTTAATTATGTTTTATATAATTAAATAACGAATTTAAAGATTTGTGATTATTTTATTTAGAAAAGGTTATTAAAATTACTGTACTAATATTTAGAAAGAAGATTATTGTTTAAAAGAATGGTTTGGTTTGGTTTGGTTTATTGAGATTATGGCAAAGCACACCAGGGCCATCTGCCCAAGGGTAGGGATGCCTTTGTGGAGGACTTTCTAAGGGAAACCGGCTCGTATACATGTTACACATGCAAAAAACCACGAAAACGCCCATGCAGCCAGCCCGTTTGTGGGATTCGAACCTCGGACCAAACTACAAGTCTTCAGCGACTTCCACCGCTCGGCCGCTGGTAGACCTGTTTAAAAAAATTAATTTTAAGAATTCTGAATTATTTTAAAAATGAGCTATAAATGTGAAAAATGGATGAATTAAGTTTGAAAAGCTGGTACAGAAGTGTTTTGAATATAACATAGAAAATATACAATGTTTAGAATATTGAGCACAGTATGATGAATATAATAATAATAATTGCATGTAAAGAAAAGAATATGATGAGGGAGTGATGTTCAAAACAGAGACTGCTTTTTTTTTTTACCTCTGTTATTCATTCTTTTACCCTCCTCATATCAAGAAATATAAACTTTGAAGGCACCCACTTTATAATTTTTTCATGTAATTATATATATATATATATAAATGGAGTGTGTCAAATTTTTTTTAATAAATGGAATGTATGGTGCAGTTTAAAAAGGCCAGTTACCTTTAAACAAGGTAGGGAGGCCTTTATAAGCGACCCTTAACCGCTCATGATATTACACAAGTCAGTTCTAAGTGGTTTTGCCTAATAGATGGAAATGTTTGAATTAGAGAAAGCTGTTGGGTTTTCTAGTTTTGTGTAAAATAAGAAAATTAAGAGACATAACAATAAAAACCATAATTTTAGTATTATAAAATTTATGATGTTAAAATATAAGTCATAATACTGAAAATTAGTTATGTTTTGAAAATTTTGAAATTTGTTGTGATTATACAAACTAAGTAATGCATGTGCAAACTTTTTACAACTGTGATATTGTGTGTAAAGCTTTGCAAAGTCTTCCCTAAAAAAAAAAAAAACGTTATGTGGACTCTAAAACACAAAGACTTTTGGACTGAAATTTTTTTAAGAACTAAAATATTATCAAAGATTATATTTTGCAATTAGTAAGCAATTATTTGGCCAAACATTCAGGATTTGTATTTTAAAATTATTACTTTTTATTTGCTAATCCCATACAGCACACTTAGTTGCTATGATGTTGCAGTGACCTCTCAATGTTGCATTTTCTTCACATTACATTTGTGACCATGGTACAACGTTGCAGAAATGATGCATTGTGATGTGGATGTGAATGTCGTATGGATGTCACATACACATCGCAGCAAACACTTAATGTGACAACAAGAAATTCTCAGTCTTCCCCGCTCTGACCTTGCTCACGTAATTCTTTAATGGGAGGTATTCTTGCGTGCTGACCTCCCTTCCCCCAGATTCATTACTATGTGTTTCAGTATACCTTTCTAAATAAATGTTTCTTTTATTCTAATAAAGCTTGCAATTTTATTTCTTTTTTATTAAAGATATTAACAGTTTTTATTGATGTGGTACTTCGAAATCATTGAACTATATTCTGGGGTGAATGGATTCACATTCTACCGTATCTAGTGAGTCTAGAGACTGATGAAAGAGTTTATTGTTTGCATAGTGTTTGTTTGTCTTAAGGATTTTCGAGACTATTTTTTTAGTTCTGTTCACCGAACACATCGTCTGTGCTAGATTTTCAGGTAAGCACTGTTTATTGTACATTGAAGTGAATGATATTAGCAATAATTAATATGTAATAATAAAAGCATAATTTAAATGTTACGAACAAAAATACTGGCAGTAGATTAACTTTTATTTGTATTACAAAGAGTGCGAAAGCAAGGGCTATTATCAAAAGTCATCTTATTTTTGTCTCCCTTCTTAGAAATTTTATTTTAGGGAGTCAGGTTTATTTGGCAGATATAATTCACTTTTTGTTGCTTTTAATGTTAAAAGATAATGTGAAAAAAGAATTGATTTTATGCATTTTACTGCAGTACTTTCACCGTGTTCAGCTATTTTTTGAAATTATTCATGAAATAATTACTTACTTCCATGTGTGGTACTTAGCGCCACATTATAAATGATGCCATACTTCCATAACCATGTTTTAGTTATACAGAAAACGTTTTTTTAATTATTATAACTTTACACATAGAGTTATTACTTTAAAACACTGAACTTTTCTACATGTTTCCTATATGTAAATTTCTGAGATTAGTTTTAAAATTTATTATATCAGATCTTTCTTTTTGCAAACTGTGTCACACTTTTATGTATAATATATTTGTGTTGTTAAAGTAACCCAATTTCCTTATTAAGAGATTTAGTTAGAGAAAAATATTTCCTAGTTTAGGTCAAATTATTTGAATACGGCAAAACATATGAGGGCTGTCTACTTAAGATAAGGGATGCCTTTGTGGAGGACTTTCTAAGGAAAATAACTTGTATTCACTTATATATTAAGAAAAACATGAAAACCTGTGCAAAAGTATTTGCTACTTGAGAGATTAAGATTATTTATGGTATTAATTTTTTAAATAGATACATAAATTATTTAAATGATAACAATATAAAAATAAGGAAGTTACATTTCATTGTTACTTATATACGAAGGAAGTTAAAATTTCACTTGTGACAAAAGAGTATAACTTAATAGCAATTTGTCTCTAAAAGTACAAGTTACTTCATGTTATAAAGAAACCAAATTTTAAATTGTATTTTAAGAAAATTTAACCTGCTGCAGACAATTTTATAAATGTAATGAAAATTACTATAAATTGAAATGTATATTTAAGCTTCACCGATAAACTTTATTCGAAATAATAGTTTTATTTTAAATTAATATATTTCACTTCTGCAAACAAGATATTTTATTTTGTTATTACAAACTTAAAAATTACATCTAAGCCTCTAATTACGTCTAATTTAATTATCTAAGCTTATCACATCTAGTTTTGCTTTAACATATTATTTGCAGAAATAGACATTGAAAAGATACTAATTTCTGCAATTGTATTTAAAAAGCTTAGAAAAATTAAGAAAGGAATCTTTCACAAAGAAATTAAAAAATTTCATTGTGATAACTTGGAAATTCGCATATTATAAATCCCTGATGAATTAAAGTCTTTGCCAAACAGGGGAAGAAAAACTGATATTAAGGTAAAATATAACTTCATGGAATTCTTTTATTTGGGACAGACTTCAGTTCTTTGCTGCATTTAAATAAACAAATAAATTTGTTTGGAAATTTTATAACAGAAAGCCAATTCCTCGAGAGTCAATCGAAGGTTCTGAAAA